CTCCAAAACACAAATTTATCCAAACATGATCAACATTAGATGATTTCATTCTAAAAATTGTAAATTAATTTACTAAACAAACGAGCTATAAACTAGATATCATCACTAATTTAGAGAAAAACAAACCTTTATTAAGTGGATAGTTGATAATTTAGGAGAGAAATCATTGAAAAATTATATAGAAATAAAATTATGTAAAAAAAATAGAGATGGGGAAGGATGTCGTTGGATATAGGAACAGATGTCGCCGGAGAGATTGATAGATGGAGATGGAATGAGTTGCGATTTAGGGATTTAGGTTATGAGTTGCTGCTGCTGTATTGTTATATACCCAAAAACCTCTTGCGAAATTAAATTCGCGTTGCGAATTTGGAAAATCACAATGCGATTTACATATTCGCATTGCGAAATTAGAAATTGGGTTGCGAAATTAGAATTCGTGTTGCGAATTTGTTGGTCATTTTGGCAAATCCAAAAAATGTTGATTAAATTCGTATATTATAAGGCATTTTTTGTCACTGAGATTATTTTCTCTTTTATTAAATTCAGGAATTCATATACTCGTTGTATTTATATTATTTTACTGTTATGTTAAGGTATTAAATATTATATATTTTTAGGACGATATTAAATATAATATACATTTTAACTTAATTACGGTGTAAAATTATAGAATAATAAAAAATATTATATGAATTTAAATATAATAAAACCCGGCACTATAAAAAAATGATATGAACATGAATATAAATAGAATACAATAATATCTTGAACTCTTATAATACAAAATTTCTTTTCTGATGAAATACAATGCAAATTATTAATATATAAAATTTATATCAATGTAAAATAAATAAATACGATAAGTTCAAAACGATATGAGGTGACAAATGTTTGGAGTGGACCAGCAAAGTTCCATTAAAGAACAACTAATGAGTATTTACTATTTGAGGGGTCCCCCCAACACATCTGGGGTAGATATAGAGCTATCTGTTCAAAGAATATTTTTATACATATGGATAAATACAAGATAGTATACTCTCAACTAATTAATTATTAACCCTCGTACTTCTATCGGTGCTCGAACAATATTGGTTTGTGCTTACTATTCGAGTTAGATAAGTTAATAGATGATATTTTATCATTTTAATTTAATTTTGAAATTTTTTAATTCCAGTCAAATAAAATAAATCTAAATTCAAGTTAAATGAATTTGTTCATAAATTAAAGAAAATCTTATTAAAATCTTCTAGATAATATGATTAAATTTAATAATGAAATTTTAATCTCAATAATCCATTTAGATTTAGGGTTATGATCTGCTTATACTTGGTATAAAACTTTTAATTTTATATTTTTTTAAGATCGTTGGATGAGGGGAAGTTCAAAGGCTGAGATTAAATCATTGTTTTTTTCCTTCAGTAAATCTTATCATTTCCTACTATTAATCTCAGTATTTGATTTCTTTCATCCAACAATCTAAAAATGTGTAAAATTAAAAAAATTACACAATATAATTGGTTCGTAGCCCTTAGATTTTTTCTTTATCAAATATTTAGATTCATTCGATGATTACATTTTAATAAGAAATTAATAAATTTCATACAATGTGAACCAGTCGTATTCATATATATATATATATATATATATATATATATATATATATATATATATATACTATTATTAAACAAAATAAGACAAATTAAGATAATGTAAAATAATAAAAGTTGATTCAATAATTTGTTTTGACGTCTCAAATTTATTATTTTCAATCCTTTCTTAAATTTAACATCTTTATAGATTTTTTAATTTTTATAATAATTTGGAATTTTTATTTTTTTTTGGTTAAAAAGGGATCAATTTGCATATTTTCAAGATTGATAGAGTCCCAAAAGATATTTACACCAATTTATCATTCAACATGGATACAAGTTGTAGAATTTAACTAAAACTAAAAAGAAAATAACTCATTTCTATTTGTTCATATTTTTTAGTTAAATCGAATTTTATTCACCCTATTACACTACATGATAATGGACTGTATCAATCAAACATTGTTCTTTTATGCTGGGCTACCATGGTCTAACACGTGAAATGGGCCTAAATATACATACACATTTATACATGCATGCATGCATGGACATGTATGTATGCATGCATGCATGCATGAACATGAAGATGTATATATATATATATATATATGCATGCATGCATGAACATGTACATGTATGTATGCAGCATGCATATATGCATGAAAGAAGAACTTAAAAGCAAAGTGTGGAAACAGGCTAATACACATGTCATTTTTGCAGAAGAGCATGAAAGAAGAGACGTGAGGTTAAATTGTATTGAAAATTGATGAATTGTCATCAGAACAAAGGACCGCTGAAGCAATGCACCAACAACATCATGAATAATGACCAAAATAATCCAAGATTCATATCAACAATCACTAGCACACCTAAAAACATACAGACACAGACCTTACGTGTGAACCACGGTTTTCGGACCAGCACGGAAGAAAGGTACCTAGCGGGAAACGAGAAATAGTGTCGAGGCAATCATCAGCACCATGAAGAACAGTTTCGATCTACCGTCAATGATTAATGTAGCCGATGAGGAGACATCCTGCGGCCTGAAAAAGAATCAAGTAGAACCGTTATGGGCCTGAAGAAGAGAGCTTTTCAGAATACAATGGGCTCATGTTGCTCACTTCTGTAATTTGCCGAGGGCGCCGCAGAAGAGGGCATTGTCGGGCATAGGCAACTCGGTTTTGTTCGTAGGCTCAGGGTTCACAACTCTGACATATGTTTCTTGGCCAAGATACCATGAGTCGAGATTTTCGATTCTAAGGTTCCATACTCCGACGTTGTCAAGTGATATCAAGATTGCGGTCCAAGCACCGGGATAAACCTACAAAGACCAATACATGAAGGATCACTGCAAGCATTTTTGATGCTTAATGCATGAATATCATCACAAACTATGGTCAACGTAATTATTTGTAAACGATATCTGGAATCAAACCTACCCGAAAACCGAAAACAACTTGCATATCGGAGTCTAATCATTGAAAACAGTGTTCTTTACCAGAAAACATGAACTTTCCAAAGCCTTACCTGTGTTGTGGAGCGGGCAATCCCATCCCATTTGTTATATGTGCCCCTGCTATTCTCCGACCACTCGCCGTAATCTATTCTGCAATGACATGATGATGAGTTAGTGTCGAAAATCATAGTTCATAATGACATGTTAACACATCAAGAAGTGTTCAGGAAAACGAATTTCTACCCCACAACGAAAAATGAATATCCACTCATGTGATAGGTATGCATCTTGGTGTCATTGTTCTGTAGGATGACTTCCATAAATCCTCTATATGTTCCGTTAATAACGGATGTTTCCATTTTAGGTGGCCCTGTAAGTGGTTTAGTGGGAAAATCTAGCTTGGGTTTTTCCCATCGATGGTCTCCGGTGGCTTGTTTCTCAAAATATAAATTTCGGTCACATTGATTGAAACATATCTAAACGATCCCTGTGGGTTCGGTCGAGCACCACTGGCAGATACATTCCATCTGCATAATTTAAGCACAGAAAGTTACATAACCAAGTAAAGCGTAAAGATAATTCGTTTTTGAACCACAAAGGAGAACCAACCTGATAGATCTAGCTTGGTTCATTGAAAAGGTTTTGTCGTATTCATCCTGCGGTGGATCGGGGAGGGGACCGGCTGCCTTTCCTTTCGAATTAGAATAACGCAAAACAGCAACACCGGTAACTCGTTTCCACTGCGATTCATTCACAAACCTCGCACTAGCAACAATGTAGTAATCGCTACTACATTCAACCAAATAATCCACCTTATGTATCTTGACATCACTTTAGCAAATCTAGACTGCAAAATTAAGTAAGATCATACCAATGCATAAGTAAACTCTCGTCCAATTTGTTTCGAACATTGACGACGACATTGTAATTAGTAGTGGCATTGATGGTAGGGCCAGGAAACTTGTTATTTATAGCAATAACCTACTAAGTAATGCAAGATAAAGCAACCATTACACAATTCTAATAAATCCTTACCCCCAAAGCTCACTTAGCTTAGCAAAGTTCATGGTGCTACATTCTTATTTTGTAGATCTGAAGCTAAAAGTTGCTAATTATAGCAACATTAACCCAAACCTCACTTAACTAAACAAAGTTCAAGTGAAAAGGAACTGCATTTCTTTTCTGTTCTTTTGTAGATCTGAAGCTAAAAGATGAAACTTTAAGGTGTTTAAAGGCAACCCATTTCTCAGCTATGAAAGATAAGCAAAACCACATAAAATGTACTGAAAGTGGAAAAAGAGCAGAGACCTGTTGGGGAACACCCAAAGGGGAGCAGTGATGTAAGAGACCTCAAAATCATAGGTAACAAACGGATCCTCAGCAAAACACAAGCTTGAAAACAGAGCAATGTGGATAAGAAACAAACCCCATAACCTACTCAAAGCCATTTTTTACACACACACTCACAAAAAATATCCTTTTTGGGTTTTTTCTAGGAAAATTTGCAGATAGAAAAAATTGTTTAAAAGGTGAAAACTTTGCTGGGTTTTACATTATCTGGTAGGCAAAAGAAGAAAAAAAAGGAACCAGAGTCCCTAATCTAAAGATTGAAACTTTCGAGTAAGAGAGAGAAAACAGCAGAAACGGATATAACAATCGGCAAACTATGGACCAAACCTTCGACAGGTTATAGTGCACAGGTAAGTCTGACAGGTAAAATCTCTACATTTTCACTTTAATTCTGATGTTGCTAGGGATTGGGTTCTTGAGAATGGTCAGAGGCACATTCTCAACAAACCTTTAATTTTTCGTAAGTGGGAACCCAATATGCAGCGACTGAACTTTGATCTCTCAAGATTGCCTTTATGGGTTCATTTGTATAACGTTCCCTTAGAACTATATTCTAGAGAATGCCTTAGTTATATAGCCAGTGCTTTGGAGTTCCATTAATAATGGACTCAATTACTGCTTCGAAAACTATACTAGAATATGCTAAGGTTTGTATTGAAATAGGAGCTAAAGAAGACTTACCTGAAACTGTTGATGTTATCCTTGCTAATGGTCAAACTTCCACAATATATGTAGAAGTTCCTTGGTTCCCTTATTGATGCAAGAATTGTAGTTCATTCGGACATTCTGATAAAGAATGTCTAAACAAAACAAATTCTGCTCCTTCACATCTTAAAATCTGGAGAAAAAAGACACCTCTAAATGATAATGCTGATCTAAAAACAGGAATATTGGAACCCTTGAAGCACTCTCTGCCTGAATCTTCTTCCGCAAAGGAAAAGGCTATTTCTAATGAAAATGATCCCATAACAGAACCAGAATCATCTACTACTCAAAAGGACCAACTGTTAATGTCGAATCTCCTCATCTTAATATTTCAAATGAGGCAAGCAATTCCTTATCCCAATCCATACCTCACGGTGAATATTTAGTTAATGATAACACAACACATGCACATGAATCTGCCCCTATTCCTAATGAAACTCCTTCTAATCCTAAAAGAGGTAGAGGTAGGCCTCTAAAGATTAAAGCTAAATCTGCTTTACGAGGCTCATCAAACATATTCGAAATTCTCACAACAGTTGAAGAAAATTCTTCACTAAACGAGCTGCCAGTAAAGAAAACAAGACCAGCTGCCGTTGGAGTTGCTAAACTAATCAATGAGCTAAAGTCAAAAAAGAAAGAACAAATCCTAAAAGTCAAAAGTACCTCAGAAGGAAATTCAGAGGGTTCATCCTCCACAATTTCCCAATGTTAATTTGTTTTTGGAATATCAGAGGATTCAATAATCCTCAAAAACAGAAAAAAGTCCTGAACATAGCTAATCTCTTCAAAGTTGACGTTCTTTGTCTGTTGGAAACTCGTGTTAAACCTGACAATTCCGAGAAAATCTTCAATACTATATTAGAGAGCTGGAATGTTCTTACTAACTATGATTATGCTATAAATGGCAGAATATGGCTCATCTGGAAAAAAAGGAATCGATATCTCCCTCTGTCATTCTACTGATCAAAGTATTACTGGTAGATGTCTCTTTAATAACACTCTTTCATAATCACTGCTATCTACGGTAGTAACAGTGGTTCTTCTAGAAAATTTCTTTGGTAGCATCTGAGAAACCTTGACACTAGGTTTGGGTCTCTCCCTTGGATTCTGGGAGGTGACTTTAATATCTATCTTCATCACAAGGAAAGTTCTGATTCTTTAATTCTAGGACCATACTTTTCCTCTGATATGATTGACTTTCAAGAGTTGATTCAAGATCTTACTCTTAATGATCACCCTTTCTTCGGTCCTACCTATACTTGGAGCAATAAACAAAAGGATACGTACCTCGCTAGAAAACTTGATAGAGTGCTGATTAACTCCCATTGGGCTACTTCTTTTCAGAACTCTTTTGTAGAATTTACTGCTCCTGGTCCTTCTGATCACTGTATGGCTCTTGCTTGGATCAATAAAGAGAATCAAATCAATAGGCCTAAACCTTTTAAATTTTTCAACTTCTGGTCTAAGCACCCTAATTTCCTTGAATATGTCATTATTTCCTGGCGACAACCTTCTCAAGGTAACCCTATGCAGAATTTGTTTCTTAAGCTTAAACGCCTAAAACCTTGCTTGCAGAAGCTAAACAAGGACAACTATAGTGATATCTCTGCTAGGGTAAAGCTGAAAAAGAGAGATCTGGAACAATTTTAAATTTCAAATCTTAATGGTAACAATTCTTTCGATAAAGAATTGAGTGTTCAACAGGAGCTGAATGATTTAGAGGAAACTGAGTACATGTTCCTTAAACAGAAAACGAAAGCTCAATGGATCAAAGAAGGTGACAAATGCACCAAACTTTTTCATTCTGCTATTGCCTCTAAAAACAAAAGAGACACCATTAGGATTCTTATTAATAATGAGGGAAAAAGGCTCGAGACTTATGACGATATGGCTAATGAAATAATTGCTTTCTTCAAACATCAACTTGGTGCCATTGATCCTAAAGTTCATCCTCCCGACCCTTCTTCATTGAGAAACCTGCTTCAAATTCATCTTTCTACTGAGGTTACTACTGGTCTGATAAAAATAGTAACTACTGAAGAGATCAAAGAGGCTTTATTTAATCAAGGGAATGACAAAGCTCCTGGCCCTGATGGTTTCACTCCTTTTTTTTCAAACATTCCTGGTCTGTCACAGGGGAAGACTTTGTCGATGCTGTCAAATACTTCTTTCAAGAGTCAAATATCCTTCATGCTTTCAATTCCACCATTATTGCCTTGATCCCTAAAATCCAAATCCTAGCAAAGTTAAGGATTATAGACCTATCTCTTGTTGCTCTGTAGTTTACAAAACTATTTCCAAAATCCTTGTCAATAGAATAACTTTGCTGTTGCTTGACCTTATATCCCTCAATCAAACCGCTTTTGTGAGAGGTAGATCTATTATTGACAACACCCTCCTTGCTCAAGAACTTGTTAAAGGATATGGTAGGAAAAACATTTCTCCTAGATGTGCCCTCAAAATCGACCTTCAAAAAGCTTTTGATTCCCTTAACTGGGATTTCATCTCCTCCATTCTTAAAGCCATAGGACTTTCTTCCATTTTCACTAAATGGATTGAAACTTGCTTCAAAGAAGCACGTTATTCCATATCTTTTAACGGTAGTCTAATAGGATACTTCAAGGGTGAGAGAGGTATAAGACAAGAGACCCCTTATCTCCAATCCTTTTTGTGATAGCAATGAATATCCTCTCAAAAATTCTCAACCTTGCAGCAGCCAGAGGTATTTTTGGATATCACCCTAAATGCAAAAAGCTTGGTATTACCCACTTATCTTTTGCTGATGACCTCTTGATATTTTGCAAAGGTAATCTTGAATCAATTGTTGGAGTTACAAGTGTCCTTAATCATTTCTATGTTTTATCTGGTCTGAACCTCAATGTTAACAAAACTAAATTTTATGCGGCTGGTATACCAGCTAGAACTCTGGACTCCATTAAATTTGCCACTAGCTTCAAACAAGGTTTTTTGCCTGTTAGGTACCTCGGTATTCCTCTTGTTACTCGGAAGCTTACTGAAAAGGATTGTCTTCCTCTCTACGATAATATTAAACGTAGGCTTCACCATTGGTCTGGTAAACTTTTAAGCTATGATGTGCGTCTAGAGTTAATTAAAATTGTTCTATACAGTGTTGTTAACTTCTGGAATAGGCAATTTATCCTCCCTCAGAAAGTTATCAATCGTCTTGAACAACTTTTCTCTAGATTCCTTTGGAAAGGTAATGATACTGCTGCTAAAGGTGCTAGGATTAGCTGGGATAGAATTTGTTGTCCCAAATCTGAAGGAGGTCTCGGGTTGAAGAACATTCATTCCTGGAATAAAGCCTGCATGATCCAACTAATACGAAAAATTATGGCTGGAGAGGGTTCCTTATGGGTCGCTTGGATTCATTGTTATATTATTAAAAATAACGATCTAAACGACATTAAAATTAATACTTCTCACAGCTGGACCATCAGAAAACTCATGAAAATTAGAAGTGAAGCACTTCCAAATTTAACTGTTGGTGTCACTAAAACTAAAGATATATGGGAAGATATTAGAGTTCATAGAGATAAGGTTTCCTGGCATAAAGTGATTTGGTTCCCACTTAACATCCCTAAACTTAGCATAATCTCTTGGATGGCAATTCTGGATCGCCTTCCTACGCGAGATAGACTTATTAGAATGGGTATTGCGTCCGACAGTGTTTGTATTTTGTGCAATGAAGATCATGAAACTAGAAATCATTTGTTTGTTGACTGTACTTATGCTACTTCTCTTTGGAATTCTATTATGAATCTATCTAGCATGCGAGATATTCACAGGTCTTGGGATTCAAGGCTTGAATGGGCTGCTCAAACATGGAAGGGTAAATCTCTTCTTTCCATCATTCTGAGGATCTCCTGGACTGCTTTCATATACTTCAATTGGGAAGAGAGAAACATAAGAGTTTTCAACCGAGCACAAAAACAGTAGACCAATTATTTACGGCTATAAAAGAGCTTATTCGATCAAACTCAGTACCAAGGACATAAATAGACTAGATTACGTTAATTCTAGACTTTGTAATTATTGGGATATAGACTAGCCTTTTGTCTGTAAATAGGTGCTATTACTCCCAATTGGGATGACTGTTGTATGATGAACATTTTCTGTTTGGGTAATAAAAATTCTACTTATCCAAAATTTTTTTTTTTTTGCTCTTTTAGTGTGTGTGTAAGTAAATAATTAAAAATAAAAAACACTTTGATTATGGTTGGAATAATAAAAAAGGATTAGATTGTTGGCCATCTTTCATTCCAAATGAGAGTTTGTTTAATATTGCGGTAAAAAAGACAAATTATGTAGTTTAAGATTAATCTTAAGTATTTAATATTATTGTTAAAATATATTCTTGAGAAAGTAAATGATTATGTTAGAGGATAAACTATTTATGTAATCATTATATTTTTTTGTTTTTATTTTCTTAAAAATCATATCTAATTTTATATTTTGTTTATCTATTAATAATATGCCGTTAGGTTTAATAGTTGGCTTAATGAGAATGGTGATGTGGTATGGTATAATAACAATTTTAATCTTAAAAACTTAAATATTTATTAAGTTGGTCATAATTTGAAATAATTCAATAAATCTTTAATATTTAAATTGAAAATTTATTAATAATTTAACAATTTAATAAGTCTCTAAACTTGGATAATTTATTAACAATTTAATGAAACCCATGGATTCTCCTTTAAAATAATATTGCTCCACATCCTATCGAATATGTCTTTTGTGAAAAGAATAATGACTTCGTAACAAATGATATAGAATGATCTTTTAACTGCCCGATTTCATGATGATATTTTAATATTTTTTAAATATTTTAAAATTTTAATAATTTATAGTTTATAATTTTATAAATTTTGATATCTAATATTTTATAATATTTATTTATAAACCGTGCCATCCTCAAAGCTACAGAATTTGGGGCAACAACAATTATCATTGTTTTGAAAACCGGACCGGATCGGCTAGTTCAACCGGTTCAATCGGGAATCGTGTGCTAGTTTGATTCAATCTAAACCAGTTGAACCGTTATTAGTGAACCGGCCAAAACCGCTGAACCATTCTAACCGGACCGGCTAAAAATCGGAAATTTTGTTTAAAAAAAAATTAAACCAAACAACATCGTTTGTTAAACGAGCCAAGTCGAACTCGAGTATTGCTGAGCTCGACTTGAACTTGAAAACTTTAAAAGTAAGCTCAACTCGACTCAAACTCACAAGCTAAAAATTATCAAGTTCAACTCAAACTCGAAATATAATATTGAAACTTGAACTCAAAAAGGCTTGAACTAAAAAAAATTTAGAAACTCGATTGAAGCCTAAAATTCGAGCTTGATTGAAGTGAAAGAATAGTTCACTCAATGCTCACCAAAAGGCTCCATAATTTTAAATGTCAAATTACCTCTATTATTTATAGAAGTTAGTTGTGATGCTCTTCTATGTTTCTTATCAATGTGAGATTGTTTTGTTCTCATATTTTTACTCTTTAGACTTTTGGGATGCTCTTCTATGTTTCTTAGCCATGTGTGATTGTTTTTAAAAAAAATTAAACCAAACAATATCATTTTATTATGATTTTTTTAACCTCAAATTTATTTTTTAATTATAATATATAATTATATTTATTATTTAATATGTTATACCTTAAATATTATGTTGTAGTTAATTTGAATCATTTTGTTTCACTTGATTTTATGATTTTTAACTTATATATGTTATGACTTGCTTTGAATATGACTTGTGATATAAAAAATTATTTTTTATTAAATATTTTTAGTATTTTTATTTAATTTTTTAAATAATTATGACGTCGTCCGATTTTTTCGACCGGTCGGATCGGTTCGACCGGTTAAACCAGTGAACTGATAGCATGACCGGTTTGCTAACCGGTCCGGTTCTGAAAACCATGGCAATTATAAAGATGAAGGCTTTGGCATGTGCTTGAATGCAAGTATTCAAAACGGCAGTCTTTAAAGGGTTACCACATTCAATTTCAGAGTGCTAAAAATCAGGCATTATGTTCATTGATACCATAAAAGGATAGAGGATCCAATATCAGCTCTAAACACCCACTAAACTGCTTTGCAGGGAAAACAAAAAAAGTGTTTAACGTGATGGAGTCTGTATCGTGTTATTTTATGCCCCATTAGGTGTGGATCGAAATGGAGGGGCCGTTTTAGACATTTGGAGGTGGCCACATCTTGTCAAGTAATTCCTCGACTCGCTTCGTTTGGTTAACATATCCGTCCAGTCCGGCAGCTAGAAGCTCGACTGATGCAGGTCCCATAGCCGATCCGAGGCTTAAACGGTCCCACTTTGTGAGCTGAACATAGAGAGAAATATCAGTCAGCATAACAGTTTCAAAGACCTTTACCAATGCCTGTTGAAACCTGATTAGCAAGGAGCTAAGTGTCCCCTGTGTGAGGTCTCGGTTTCGAGTCTTAAGAATGAAAAGAAAAGTATTCCGGGAGCTTCGTCCCCGTCTAGGGTTTGACCTAGCTTGATTCCTAGAATATTCAGGGCTCAATGTGGCTTCAAGATAATGATGGTGTCGGACAGAAAAAAGATCTTGATGATTTCAAGGTCATGGTTGTAAAGAGGTACATGGTCTATTTCGTAACCAAAATGGCAGCAAATAGCTCATCAAGTAGGAAAGATGGGGAGTGGTATCCATGACCATGATTTGATGAATAGCTTTGAAAACAGATAAGGAAATTGTATAAGGGATGTATAAAAGTTGTTTCGGTTTTCTATTTTCAAACAAGGAATGATAAGTAACCAAATTGGTACATGGAAGAAAATGCTGCAGCTCGACCCCTTTAATGTCCTGGTGAAATCACTATATCCACATCGATTTTGTCATTATAATGTGCAGTGAGTTTCAGTTTCCTTTTCCCCATTATTTTTTCCAGTTTTGACAATCGAAAATATGGGAAAAGAGGTACCTCTTCAGCAGTGAAATCATGGTTGACAGCAGACTGCGGGGAAAGCCTCCGAACATAAGAGTACTTCTCATCAGGTGCAGTAATTGATTCTTTCAGTGACTGCAATATCTTCAAGGGTGCAATGATATAGTCAACCCTGAAAGAAAGAAATCATACAAGTTTAAGAACAAGAAAAGATCAATATTCGGTTCTTAATTTCTGACGACTTCCGATTAAATGAATAATGGTTGATTGTTTGAGTCGTAAGATACCCCAGCAGACTAAATAAATCCTGCTTGTTTCGGACTGCAGAAGCCATCAGCTTTGATTTGTGTCCGTATTTGTGAATGTAGTTATAAGCTTTTGTCACCTGCAATGACAAACGAAAGTACATCGATTTGAAACCTTTTTATGCTAAAACGAAATTATTATATATAGTAACTAAATAACAATTCCTTATTTCCATTGGAAAAGTCCTAAAAAGCTAACCCAAAACATCAAGACTTTATAGACAGATCTCAAAAGCAATAGAAACAATTGTTTCTATGAGCAGCCACATTGGTTCTCGTGATTTCGAATGTGTATAGAAACAATTGTTCAAACTGAAATACTCGACCAAAATCCCATAAACCAAAACAAGCTAAGCTTATGCTCTAAAACCAATAGTTGTTTAACTAACCAGAGACAACCCAGGATCCTCTCCTCTTTGAATGGCAGCTTCAATCTCAGGGTCACCAGAATGAGTTCGTGCCCAATCCTGAAGAAAGAAAAAGAATGTGTTTCAAGGATGATAAAAGATCAAGGTTTGCAGACGAAAGTCACCTAAGGTTTTCAGGGAAAATGTTTACCCTAACGCGGCCAACAAAAATCTGGATAACAGAAACACCAGCTTGGGCTGCAGCTGCAGCTTGAGTAAAGCTGAAGCAAAAGCAACTATTAGAAAACGAAAAGGAAGTAAATTCAGGCAAGTGAGGTTGCTCATTCTTTTAAAATTTAGCATATTATAATCAAGCAACATCAATTGTCAGCATAATCGTATACCTATAAACAAAAGTCAAATGTGTTTGTATACCCTCAGATTCAAGCAATCCTGAGGCTTCTATTCCCTGTACAAGCAACAAGCAATTGTAAGAATTATTTAGCCTTTATATTCCAAAACTATCAAGACTTAGTGTCTTTACGAGTATTTACACAATTAGTTGAGATACTCACTTGCCAAGTTGAAGGAATTTTAAACAGTAAACGCTCAGAAGGAACATCAATCTCATTATACAACTTCAGTAAGTCATGAACCTGCATATCCCAATAAGCTGTTAGCATCCGGCAGCATATTCACACACAAAAAATGGAATAAGCTACTATAACATATAAAAGGTAAAAGAAGTACATAACGAAACTTCATTCATCTTACAATCATGTTTTTACCGAGGAGCATTGTAAACCTTATAATACTTGTAAGGATACAAGGATGTACAAAAAATATCGAGTATGTCACATTTCTTATTCCAAAAGCTAAGAGAATAACCTCTAGTCAACATAAAACAACAAAAATTCCGGGATGATGAATGAATAGTTCGTTTCATCAATGTGAACATTTAATTCAAACTTTCAACATTGACACTTATGCATAAGACCTAAAACAATTACAATTAAAATTGGAAATGATTTTGATACGGGACAACAATCATACAACAAACTTGAAAGAAAAATCACAAGCAACATAAAGGAGACATAAGAAGAGTCAGTACCCTCCGAATAATACCATGAGTGTCATAAGCCAGACGTGCATCCACTTCAGTAGAAACTCGACCAGGGACTAGCTTAGCCAAGTCGGCACCAACATTTACTAAAGCCTACACTTGATGAACAACCAAAAGTCAAACAAATTAACAATCTGATTCCAGTTTTCTGCCATTATTTATAAATGAAATGAAAATCAGATAGCAGAACACAAAAAAATAAAGATTACAAACCTTATTATAGAAACAAGACAACCTCATTTCAGGTTTGTCAAGCTTAGAACAAGTTGAATCCGCCAAGGCCATATCCACAGCATTCTAAACCAAAAATTCACTAGGCAATTTATATACATACAGAAGGTTTTTAAACTATGTTTATATATCAATGACAATGCTTACTCTGAAAATGGTATCAGGAAGGCTCAATATACCCAAAAGCAGTGAAGAGCTAACAGTTGCAGCAGTTGGTGGAAACCTACAAATTTCAATAGATTAGCATAGACAAAATTAGTCCCTTTACACTAAAATTTTCATTAAAAAAACCAATATTCCAAAGCAAAACAATCTTTACTTTTCAAAATCATCAAAGATGACAGTGTCAGGAACTATCTCACTGAAAGTAGACACAGCATCCAATTCGGTAGTGAATCCTGTAATTTTCCCAAAGAAACAAATTTTAAAAACAATCCATGGATCAAAATCCATATAAATAACTTAAAATGGTTACAGATTCAATCAAAAAGGAAACAGGGAGGTAGATAACCAGTGTCGAGGGAAGAAGAGAAGCCCGAGGAGGAGGCGCGAATAGTTGCGAAAGATTTGTTGAATTTGAAGAGTAGAGTGGAAGAACAACACCCATTTGCAAATCTGAATCTTGATTTTGGCAAAGTAGACGAATAGAGAAATGATGAAAGCGAAGATTGCAAGGAGAGTGACATTTTTAAAGAAAAAAAAATAACATTTTTCGCGACAGGGTCAAAGTTCCTTTAAGTTCGATCGTTCTCGTATATTTTTAACAATGGATAAGAGTTTGTAAGAGTGCGGATGTACACGTGCGAGACCTATACATAAATTATCCGAGTTTAATTTGTTTAAATTTTAATTAATATTTAATTTAAATAAATTTAATTTGATTTTAAGTTGACTCAAGGTTTTAATTAATAAAACTGAATTATTTGATATTCGATTCAATAAAATCATTAGCAAGTAGCAATTCAAAAAAATAATATAATAATTTTTTATTTTTTAAATTAAATTATTAGTAATATCATCATTTATATATATATATATATATATTAAATATAATGTAAGATTTTCATGCTTTTAAGGTTCAGGTTAAAGTTTAAGCTTAAATCGAACTCGAATTCGAACTTCAATTGAGTTAAGTTTGATAATTTTGAATTAAAGTTTTTCAAACATAAGTTAAGGGTGGTTTTCCCCAAAAATCATATTTTTCAGAATATATATGTGTCATACATCCTTTCAGAAAATATTATGGAACTAACATCCTTTGCAGAAAGCGCGACTCATGCACCGCGTCTTATGCCACGTGTTGAAAGGTGAGGCTCATGCATCGCGCCTTACGTTACGTGTAAAGATTGGGTGATAGTTTCGTAATTTTTTTTTAAAATGGCATCTAATATTTAATTAATTTATGCTAGGTGATTTTTATGGTAAAACGTCAACTTTTTTATTTATTTTTTTGTGTGTAAAAAAAATTTCTCCATTAAAATATTTAAATATTCTTTTGCAAATTATTTTATAACTCGACAAATTTTGATTTTTACATGAAATTAAACAATACATATAATATAGTATATGAATACTTTGAGGGTAAGTAATTTAAAATATGAATAATTTTATAAAAGTTTTATGTATTTTTTACAAAATGATGATGATGATGATGATAAGAAATATTTTATAATTAAAAAATTTATAAATTTCATATAATTTTGAAAAATTTATTGAATTTTAAAATTAATTGTTTAAAAATATAAAAAATATTAAAATAAACTTTTAATTACAATTAAGGGATCAAATGAATTATTATCATTATTTATTATTTTTTAACAATAGTTAATAATGTTTATTCATTTTTTAAAAATTAGATTTTAATATTTATTTTAAATTTTTTAAAATTAATATTAGAAAGAATATTTTAAATATATAGGTGATATTTTTTAGCTTGGCATTTTTTTATTGAATTTTGATACAAGTTTAGAGAGTAACATAAAAGAAAGGAAAATCTTTAGAAACACTTTACCATAATTTTTCTTAATTAATTTAAATAATAGCAGAATAAATGATTAATTTGAATTATAACTCATATATTTAAAATTCAATAAAAAATAATTAAAAGCGAATAAAATTCAATAAAAAAGAATGTAAAGATAAAAAATATCACCTATATATTTAAAATATTCTTTATATATAATTTTAAAAATATAAAATAAATATTAAATTATAATTTTATTAAAAATGAATAAACATTATTAATTGTTGTTAAAAAATAATAATTAATAAATAATAATTCATTTGATCCCTCAATTGTAATTAAAAGTTTGTTTTAATGTTTTTTTTATATTTTTAAACAATTAATTTAAAAGACAATAATTTTTTAAAAATATATGAAATTTATAATTTTTTAAATTATAAAATATTTCTTATTATCATCATCATCATTTTGTAAAAAAATACTAGTTATAAAATTTTTATAAAATTATTTGTATTTTAAATTACTTACGCTCAAAGTTTTCTTATATTTGATTATATGTATTGTGTAATTTCATGCAAAACTCAAAATTTGTCGAGTTATAAAATAATTTGCAAAAGAAGATTTAAAGATTTTAATACAGAAAGTTTTTTTACAAACACAAAAAATAAATTAAAAAAACTTGACGTTTTTACACAAAAATCACTCTAACAAAAATTAATTACATATTAACCAAAATTTTAAAAAAAATTATAAAACTAGCACCCGATCTTTTCACGTCGCGTAAGGCGCGGTTCATGGGCCGCACCTTATCCCATGTGGCGCCACATCAGCGTAAGGCGCGGTGCATATGCCGCACCTTTCTGCAAAGGGTGTTAGATCCGTAATATTTTCTGAAAGGGTTTCTGACACACATATATATATATATATATTTAAGAAAAATTTGATTTTCGAGAAAATCACCTAAGTTAAGTTTCAATTTGTTTATTTCAAATTCAAGTTTAACTTAATAATTTTAAGCTCATAAATTTTTTGGTCAAGTTGAGCTTAATTTTAAACTTTTCGAGTCGAAACAAGCTAAGCAAAACTCTAGTTTGACTTGACTCGTTTGCATTTGTAGATTTGGGTTAAATACATTTTTGGCCCTCAAAGTTGGTCACGTTTCTCACTTTTGTCTCCAAATAAATTTTCCTTTTGGTTTGGCGCGTAAGCTGCAAAAAATTATCATCGTTAATCCAGTGTTATTTTCTTACATGTTACATTAGAATGCACAAAGTAGGAAGTCTTTAGCAAATCGAACATACTCATGTCTAACAAATACCCGAATCACTCCGTAATCGGAATAACATTACTCGATAAAGAAAAACAGTTACTTGCGGGAAAAGAAAGACAATTTATTCGGAACGAAACAGCTAAAGTGTAGCAGATTTCGAACACTCAATAATGGAGCTGATGGAGATCATGTGGTTCCAAACTCCTAATTTATGTGTATTTTTGGATCTGTTGGAACTGGAGAGAGCTGTTCATAAGAACTTCCCCTTCTTTCAAACATGGTTAATTAGGCTGAAGTGTACTCTGTCATCCCCATCTAATAATTGAGGAACCCCAAGTTAAACCTGCGCCGAAGCCCGCTGTTGCCAATGTATGGCCTGGCTTCACCTTCCCGCTTCGAACGGCTTCGTCCAGTGCCAAAGGAATGGATGCATATCACGTATTTAATATATATGTGCTAAAATTATAACATATTTTATAAAGGAAACAAGGGATTATAACATACATTCAGATAACCAAGCATTAATACAATATAAAACGTACGTACGCATACACAATGAAAACGTAGTTAAATGGAATACATGAAATAAATATCATAATATAAAATACTAAAATTAAACATACGAAAATGAAAGGAAACAGAGAGTTAAATAACAAGGGAACTATGACTAATGTGTAACATGGACAAAATCAAAGGCAAAATTCGAAAGTCAAAAACAACTAAAAAGAGGACTAACTTGCATTAAAATTAAGATTGGGGGAGCGTTTGCACAATAAAACCACAACGTGAAAATAAGCAATCCCAAACCTAGATAAAAAGACACTTCTGGAGGCACCTAATTAAAGCCTCTAAATTAAATGAGGTTTTAAAACAAAACCTAACCCCATTTTTTCCCTAATCACTCTCCCCTCAGCGCCGTTTTTTCCTCCTCTCAGCCTTCATCTCTTCCTTCAACTTTCTTTCTTTTGAGCCCACGGCCACCATGGCCGCCACCCCGACGAGGGGCGAAAAGCCTCCTAAACCACTCTCCTTCGAACCCCCTAACTCAAAGCCACCTAAACCCCGACTAGACAGCCCCTCAAACCCTAATCAATCACTTGCTTCATGCATGATGCATGCATGTGCAGGCTGTTGCTGTGTAATGATTGCTATGAGATACATACATTTACATATATATATATATATATATATCCCCCATTACGAAAAGCTTTATTTGACAGTGAAAATCCCCATTACGAAGGCAAAAGCAGCAACGAAAGAAGAAGATGATGAAGAGCAGAAGCACTGGTAATTATCTCAGCAACGAGATTAGCTGGTACGAAAATCCATTTTATTTCTCCAATTATCATCAACAACAACACTGCAAAAGTACCAAGCATCTTCAATTATTCATTATCAAGTGAAAGTAGCCTTAATGGATTCCGAATTGAGCATTGCTCGAGCTCGGATCATCGTCATGAAAGCGGAGGTGGACTACGAGCGTAAATCACGTAAAAAGGTGGAGTCTTTGAACAAGAAACTGGCTAAAGAAGTAGCACAGGAACGAATGGGAAAACAAGCATTGGAAAGAGTGTGCGAAAAGCTGGCGATCGAAATCACTTCCAAGGAAATGGAGATTGAAAGAATGAAGACGGAGTTCGAGGAGGAAAGAAAGGTGCTGAAGATGGCTGAAGCTTTGAGGGAAGAAAGAGTTCAAATGAAGCTGACCGACGCCATGATTTTGTTCGAGGAAAAAGTAAAAGAATTGGAGGAAACTCAACGCAGACAACCCGGTGATGCTTCGAACAGTACTACTACTACTGTGTGTTCATCAATGGTGATTCAGAGAAAAGCATGTGCAGAAGCTGAGAATCCTCACATAAAGCGAGGAATCAAAGGGTTTGTCGAGTTTCCAACAGTTCGAGCAATTGAATCCAAGGGTAAGCATTGGGGTTCGAAGGTGGAGTGTGGAAAATCTCAATTAAGGATCCTACCCCCATCCAAGTAATGGTTTTTGGGCTTAAAGAAACTGTTTCTTTCTTGTTGAATTGTTTAACATAATTGATCACTTCCCCCATATCCAAACTATCTTGTTCTTGATAGATTACAAGAAAAAGAGGAAATGTATTTGCTTTGTGGTTGTAATTTGTGGTGACATATTGTACATAAGTTGATGTCATGAACAATTCTTTGACATTGATAAAAAAGATCTGCTAAAAGCTGTGAGCAGTGGTGAAATCTTAATTTAGGGGGGAAATAGTAAAAAACATTAGTATTTTTTTAATTGAGTATAGTGGTAATTATATTTTCAAGATTAATGTCAGGATTCAAAACTGTACAAGGTGAGGTAACATGAGTACCTTCATATTAAGAAATATTATTTTTAGATGATTTGAGTTCGAATAATGATATATGCATTATGTGTGACTAAATAAAACTATAAATAGATTCTACCTTGCATACTATAATAAAAACTGATCCCTACTGTTTTCCCTTTTATAGACTTTCATGATGC